AGCAAAATTTATCAATATCCGTATGGAAAGATAGTATTTTACAAAATAATATTCACTGATGCTTTCATGTTTAACTGTTATTTATAGAGGAGGTAGTCCAGATTGTTTTGAACTGATATTTATTCAGCTGATATAAGTTAGAAGTCAGCACAAGCACATTGTGGTTTTTTTATATTAAAAAAGGATAATTGAAGTTTCATGTACCTATTTTTATGCTGAAAAAAGTTTATTGTAGCTCATTGCATGTGATTATTACTTCATGGTTGACATTGCACTTCAATAAACATTATGAAAATGTAAACACATGAGTTTCTCATGTGAACTCTTCAGCCCTTTTATACTTTAAAAATTTAGAAATATAAATACTGTTGTTATGGTTGTTTTCATCACTGTGCTTAGAGAAAATGTAAATTTCCAGGGAACTGTCATTAAAAACAAAAACAAGAATATTCTATGACCAAGAACAAACTCAGGCAACCATTTTTCTAAATTCCATCTTTTTTTTTTTTTTTTGCTGACAACTTTTGTTGACAAACTTCACTTTTATCTACTTTGAGAAACCTATTGACACTCACATGTTGGGTTGTATGCCCTATTTTGGGCACCAAGAGCCAGTTCCGTGGAGAGAGCTTTTGCCACGAACTGGAGGGAGTGTGGTTGTGTGTGCTGCCTGCATCCCACAAATGGGGCTTTCCTTGTTTGCACAGCCTGGTTTCTGGCATGTTGCAGCCCGATGCCGGTTCATGGACTGCGAGTTGGGGGGGCGCTACCTTATTGTGTTTTGCATTTTTCTGTTTTGGAGCAAGGTAAGTAGAAATCTGCCTGTCCATTTGATAAATGACATAGATACAACATTCATTACATTTATCCAATTGTGATGGTTTTCACAGAAAAAGAAAACATTCACACCCTTGACAAATATGTGCAATATCTATGCTTGTAGTCTTTTTTTGTTAGTTGTGTTCATTTTGCACTCCCCACCACTCCCCGCCCCGCCAGCAACTTGAACAACACACTCAGGTCACTTCCTTTTGTTTACTTTAATACAAGTAAGCTGGGGTGGGATTTTTAACAACCGGTTCTGTGGGCATGGCTTAATTGGTGGGCGTGGCTTGGCGGTCATGTGACTGGCTGGACATGGCTTGGTGGGCATGTTATTGGCTGGGCATGGCCAACTCAATATCACTCACATCGAGGCACCATCTCGCCTGGCTCTCATGACTGTGGGATGCTGCAACAGTATGAAAAACACTCAAGTCACTTTTTTCAGTGCCATTGTAACTTTGAATGGTCACTTCACACAAGCAATGTACCAGCAAAGGAGGGAAAAAAACTCCAGAGAAGTTCCTGAGACAGGAAGTCTAGTCCTGCCAAGAATGTAATAAGGGTTAACGGAGAGGCAGTTTCCATAAGCAACACCAGAATGTTTCCTTCTGCCCTCGTTACAGGATTAGGCCAGTAATTTCTTCTAACAACCGGTTCTCTAAACTGTTTAGAATGTTAACAACCGGTTCTAGCGAATAGGTGCGAACTGGTAGAATCCCACCCCTGAATTATCTCTCCCTGACTCCATTACCACAGTAAGAGACTATCGTGTTTACAGATCAGATTGTGAAATCCGTAGAGGAGGTGTTGTTGTTATCTTCTATAAAAAGTCCCTACATCTAAAAAACATCCAAGTTACCCAGGAGCTATTCCTGAGACCATCATCTGTGAACTGTCCTTAAATATCACATTTTGGTTCTTACTATGTTACAGAGCCCCTGATTACGACATCGAACATGCAACAAGCTAAATACACTACTAACATGAGCAGCATCCTTCCCACACACTTTTATCTTTCTTGGTGACTTAAATCTACCTCATATTAACTGGACCCTGAACAAATGTACAACTGAACCCACACATGCAACCTTCTACAATGCAGTAACAAATCTGGGACTAGAACAACTAATAACCAACAACACTAGACTTAACAACTGCCTCGATCTCATCTTCTGCAATAGTTTGAATTCAATTTACGAAATACAAATTAAAGAACTCTTTTCCAACAGTGACCACAACATGATTGACTTTTGTCTCAACATATGTCCACACAAAAATCATCACAATGACTGAATCCCCAATTATAATTTCAAAAAAGGCAACTATAATCTTATAAACAACAATCTCTCATCCCTTGATTGGCAATTTCTATTCTCTGGATGCAATACTGTAGAAGACCATAAAAACTACTTTTACTTGAAGTCAGAAGAGTCATCAAATTATATGTACCATTAACAACTCCCAAAACCAGAAAAAACAAATTACCCAAAACAATAAGGAAGCTTCAATCCAAAAAGAAATCACTTTGGCAGAAAAACAAATCTGGTCACATTGCCAACTTCAAAAGCCGATACAAAAATGTATGCCACCAGATAAAAACTGAATGCACCAATTATCACATTAAACAAGAAGAAAACCTTCTATGCACCGATTCCACCCACGCTTTCTACAATTTTGTAAACAAACTAAAAGACTCAAGGTCCATCCCACCCCTGAAAGGACCTAATGGTAAAGACTGCAACGATGACACTGTTAAAGCCAACCTCTTTAACACATTCTTTGGCTCAGTATTTGTAAAAAGCAATGGATCATGTATTTCCTAGTCGAACCACAGAGAACTACAATGATCTAATACATATCGATTTTACAGAAGACAATGTTGAAAAAGCACTACGCAATCTAAAACCATCTCTATCTATTGGACTGGATGGAATATGTGCCTACTTCTTAAAAAAGCTATCCACTGCCATAGCCGAACCTCTAAGCATAATCTTTGAAAAATCTTTCAGGACCATCTCCTTGCCAAAACTATGGTCACAAGCCACAGTCATCCCCATCTTCAAAAAGGGAGACCCCAGCCTAGTTGAAAATTACAGACCAATCTCTTTATGCTGCATCACCTGTAAAGTCATGGAATCAATTATTAACCAATCCATCATCCTCCACTTAGAAACAAACAACCTACTCTCTAATAAACAATTTGGTTTTAGGAAAAAACTATCATGCAGTCTGCAACTCTTACACTGCAAAAACATATGGACTACACAACTCGATCAGGACAAAGCAATAGATGCAATCTACATAAACTTCTGTAAAGCATTTGATTCAGTGGTACACAACAAACTACTCCTAAAACTAAAATCTTATGGTATCTCTGGACAACTGCATAACTGGATAGAAGCATTCCTGTCAAACAGCCAACAAATGGTCAAAATTGGGAGTGTCCTATCAAATTCTGTACCTGTCAACAGTGGTGTCCCCCAAGGCAGTGTTCTAGGACCAACTCTTTTCATACTCTACATAAATGACATCTGTGATCATATCAAGAGCAACTGCGTTCTCTTCACTGATGATGTAAAGCTATTCCACACCACAGACAATACTGCTACCCTTCAAAAAGACCTTGACTATGTATCAGAATGGCAAACAAATGGCAACTTCAAATCTCAACAAATAAATGCTCTGTCCTACATATTGGCAAAAAAAATCAGAAAATGAAATACAGGCTGAATAGTCAAGACCTTGTTGATGATCCAAACTCTGACAAGGATCTTGGAGTACTCATCTCAAATGACCTAAGTGCTAGAGCTCACTGTAACTACATAGCCAAAAAGGCGTTAAAAGTTGTTGACCTAATCTTACATAGCTTTTTCTCTGGTAATATTATACTGATAACTAGAGCATACAAAACATTTGCTAAACCAATACTTGAATACAGCTCATCAGTCTGGAAACCACATTATGTATCTGATATTAACACAGTTGAGAAAGTCCAGAAATATTTCACAAGAAGAGTTCTCCACTCCTCTACTTGTTGCAGAATACCTTATGCCACCAGACTCGAAATTCTAGACCTAGAAAACCTAGAACTACGTCGCCTTCGGTCCGATCTAAGTATAGTATATAAAATCATACATTGCAATGTCCTACCTGTCAATGAATACTTCAGCTTCAACCATAACAACACAAGGACAAACAATAGATACAAACTCAAGGTTAATCGCACCACACTTGATTGCAGGAAATACGACTTCAGCAACAGAGTGATCAATGTCTGGAACCTGACTTTGTGGTTTTTTTCCCCAAACCCCAAAAACTTTAACCTTAGACTGTCTACTATTGACCTCACCCCTTTCCTAAGAGGTCTGTAGGGGGCGTGCATAAGCGCACCAATATCTTTACTGTCCCTGTCCTATTGTTTCTTTTATATATATTTTTTATTTTTCTTATATGTATCCATGTATTCATAACTATGTTTTTACTTATACCTATTAACTTGTAAGCAATTGACAAATAAAAATAAATAAATAAATAAAGTAGGCCAATAATGTCATTGTTGCATTATTCAAATTTGCCCTGTACTTTTAAGGAAAACAGGACAATTGATTCTAGCTTAATAGAAACTGGAAATGAAAACTTTTTAAGAAAAAAAATGTGTGTCTTATTGAAATATCGCAGTAAAAGGTTTAAAAAAATAGTAGGTAATGCCCAAAATGGTAGTAAGATTATTACCGGCAACTTTCAGTGACTTTTAAGTGGTTTAGAATTTTTTTGTTGCTTTCTAATGGATGAAAACTTACCATGAATTCTTTACAAAAGATTTCATAAATACTTAAATCAAGTGAACAGAGAAGCTAGAACAGAAAGCCGTATGCAAAATATACCTGATGTCCTATGTCAGTGGTGGCTAACCTTTTTGGGCTCCCGTGCCAATAATTGCACACGCGCTTGTCTAACCCAGAAGGCAATGCATGCGCCCCCCCCCCATGCCCACACGACCGGTGTGATTTCGCTGTGCACTTCTGTGCATGCGTGCGTGTCTCCTGTGCGCTAGATACCCAACAATCCGCAGTCGACCTTTTCTGGGTGAGGGCTCACGCGCACTCCTGGCACACATGTCATAGGTTCACCACCATGGTTCAGTTTAGTTCTTTAAAATGAGCCTCTTTTTGGGGGGGGGGGAGCTTTCGTCAAATGGAAAGTTTTCTCCATTTTGCATCGCAACAATTAGCATCTAAAACCCCAATGGCAACTATGTGTGCACTAGACCACACTTGGACATTTTACAACCCACAGACCACATCTGGCCTTTTGGCTGTCCCTCTGCAGCCCATGGTGGCAGCCCTCCATAACAATCCCAGTTTCTTATGCAGCCCTTGAGAAAATTAATCGCCTTACAGTGCGCTAGACTCGACTAGCATCACATTAACTAAAAATTGTTATCAATGTTATCAATTTATAATTTGCATTAGCTTAAATTGAATAGTGCACTATTCGAATTTGTTATAGGTAGTCCTCATTTCGCAACCACAGTAGAGACCGGCAATTTGTCAAGTGAAACGGTGACTGCTTTCCTTCCTGCTTTACAGACCTGGGAAGCTCATTAATGTGAGGGTTGGTTGTAAAGTTACTTTTTCATTACCATCATAGCTGCTAATGGTCACTAAACAAGGACTGCCTGTATATATATATCCAATGATGACGTAGTCAGAATACAGAATGACGCTTTCCCTTTAGTCATAAAAATCCTGAGAATAAGTTGAGAGGCACCAGTAGTAGGGACAAAGTTTTTACACTGTTGCCTGATCATAAGTTGTTCTGGAAGAATGTAAAATCCCTTTCCTTTGGGTATCAACAAAGTTGTTCAGGCAGGTATCACAATGGCAGGTATCACAATGGAACTTCATCTTTATATTTCCTGCCCACTCTCCATCTTTTGACAGCAGATTTAAAACAAACAGGACTTTCCAACACAGAGGAAACTTATTCTGATTGCAGTATTCATTATATTGGTAAATAATCACAGTTAAATACAATTCTGGTTTTTTCTTTTTTTAAAAATGAAACAATAAACACTTCTTAGTATGCGTTTAAGTTCTGCAAAGTTTTATGTCAAGCTGTACACTTAGCTGCAAATGTGTTTTAATTGCCAATTCATACTTTATTTCTCCTATTTATATTTAAAAATAGTGCATCAAATGGACTCCCAATATTTGTTCTCAATGCTAAGTCCACAAATTCTTACACTAATTAAACACAATTAAGTATAAAACTAAGTGTGATACTCCTAACATTGACAAAATACATACAAAAAATGTGTCAAAAGCAGGTAATATGTTTTGCACACAAAGACTAAGTATTGCTATACAGTATCCAAAGAACCAAAGTGACATTTGCAATTACCATTTAAAAGAGCTGCTCTGGGAAGAGTTGTAATTTGAAACAAAGTTTGAAAAAAAAAAGTTTTTACAGACAATGATACTAAGTTATTTGTAACTCTGCACCTAGAATGATAAACTTTGGACAGGAAAACATGTATATCAAGCATTCTTTTTTTAAAAGTTACTTTTATGACAATCATTCAAAAAGTAGCAGTTGTCAGCTTCTGAAGAATTCAGACTGAGTGTGTTGTCCACAATTCCGTTTTTTGTTTTCTTTCCCAAGCAACAAACATTCTTACAGACTATTTTCCCTATATTGTGCCTACAACATCCTTTCGTAAGTCACACTTGTTGACCTTCAGTTGTACAGCACTAGTGCCTGGGATAGGAAAAAACACAAAACTACATTTACTCCACATACAAATGGTGTCATCCATAGAAAAACTACAGCTTTGAATTACTATGGGTTCTGATTTTAGCTAATCCCGTGTCTCAGAAGAACTGAGCCATTTTAAAACTTACCTGAAATTCAAATGTTCTAATAGCACATACCCATCTAGGAAAGATAAAATAAAATACATTACTAGAGGATGAGCTTTGTTAGAAATTTTAGTCAGAGTTACAAATAAACCTTTCAAACATATAATCAAAAATATTCAAGTGCAAAAACTATGTATAGTTCTTTATATCCTACATTTGTATCATACTAGGATGGCCAAACTGCAAAAAAAACAAAACACCAAAAACAGTTTTTCTGATTTCTGACCCCACCCTCAGTGTTTTGTTTAGTTATTATGCTCATCTCTTCTGTTTTATTCCTTTTGAAACCTTACATTTGCCTTCAGAATTCCGACATATCAGTTGATTTCCTTCAGTGATGTCTATAACTTCAAGCTGTTCTCCAGGCAAGATCCTCAAGTCCAGGTTTCCTCTGATAGGAGTATTTGAGCAATGTGCAACTGCCGTATTTATTACTGCGATTTCTTTATTATACTGTGGCAGAGTAAAGGGGGAAAGAAATCAAGCTACAGTTTACATAAACGTAATCGAAAGCAGGACTAGAGCTTATTACAGATACAGTTTTGGATAGGATACACTGAGGATGCCAAAGATTTTAAACATTTGCATATAGGTAGTCCTTGAGTTACAATCATAACTGAGTTAAAATTTCTGTTGCTAAGTTGTTAAGTAAGTTTTGCTCCATTTTGCGACCTTTCTCGCCACGCTTGTTAAGTGAATCACTGCAACTGTTAACTGCAATTATTAACATGGTTATTAAGTAAATCTAGCTTCCCCACTGACTTTGCTTGTCAGAAGGTAGCAAAAGGGGATCACATGAACTCAGGACACTGCAACCATCATAAATATGAGCCAATTACCAAGCACCTGGATTTTGGTCACGTGACCATTTTGCAACAGTCATAACTGTGCAAAATAGTGACAAGTCACTTTTTTCCCATGCCGTTGTAACTTTGAATGATCACTAAATGAATGTTTGTAAGTCAGGGACTCCCTATAGTTTGTTTTTAAATATACATTAAGCATACTTTTTACTGCCCTCAAAAGTTCCGATTTCAAAAGTGGTTTGACATGCAGGTAGGCCTTGGGTTATGACCATTCAATGACCATTCAAAGTTAGGACAGCACTGAATGAATAGTAGCTCTGACCATCCTCAGAGTTGTATTCTTGTTTCACGTTTTCCAGTCCTGAATAAACTCTCTGCTTCAACATCCCCCTACTGCCTATCTCCCCCCCCCATCTCTGCCATTTTGGATGCCCTGCACTCCACCAGCTATTTCTGCTGCTCTCTGCTGCTACCACCCCAGCTGTTCCACCCTCAGGAGATTTTAGCTATCTTCTTCTTCTTCCCATTGCAGGCCCAGGGTCTGGGCAACCCTGGGGTATGGATGGCAAGCATAGAAGGCCAAAATTATCTTCTACCATAGGTCCAAGCAGTTGAAAGCACAGCAGGAAGGACAAGTGAGGTGGCACACCTGTTCTTGGGTGAAATTTTCCCAGAAAATATATACTTTGTGGTAAGTAGTGATCAATTGAAAACAAGTTTGCATTATTAGAAGTAAGAGGAAGGTATATAAAGTTCGTTCATTTGATCAAGATTAAAATAGATATTATATTGTCCTGGTAACCTTTAATGGACTCTTGCTGACATCAGGACTGAAATGAATAGGTATTTATGGATTTGTTTATAGATAAGAGATAAGATATGGGATGGAGATTATTTGCTGTATTTTAACTGAAGGTGATACGTTACTAAAATTGTTGATATTTTATATATTTCTTTTCTTTTTCTTTACTGTATTCTAACTTTTTCTTTTTCTCCTCTTTTCTATGCATTTTACTTTTTATTGTATATTTTAGTTTGTATTTGTTTTTAATATTGTAATTACAATCTTTAATAAAATTACTATATAAAAAAGTATATATATACTTTGCAACCACAGATTTTTCTGTCAAAACAAGGTCCAGAATTCTTGGTTACCACTAAGAATTTATGCATATTTCTAATGACAATATAATGTAATGAGAATAGTTTTCTGGAATGTTGCTATTCATAGTTCTGTATCGTGACAAGAGATGACAAATTGCACAGCATATTTTCATATATCATACACACAACAGTAACCATGCCAACATCTTCCAAGCTATTTAAAAGAAGAAGAAACTTACCATAAATCTCTCTCTAAACGATTGTTCCTCCTTTGTCATCTTGTTATTTTTTTCTACAATGTATTTCTTGACTTTAAAGGGATTTCTAAGAAAGACACATGTACAGAATTAATCTAACAAATGGACATATGAGAATCATGGAGGGAGGGACCAGGATTTTTCAGAGTGGCATTGCCAAAACTGCATCAGAGACCAGGTGCCCTTATCTGGAAAAATCTTCAAATGACCTTGAAGCCTGGTAACTAACCTTTTTTCTGCCTAACAGTAAACTGAACAAACCAGCTGTGTGTTTTGAACAGTGCACATTTGCCAATAAGAAGACAGAACTTCTCCAAAAATGTTAGCTTCCGGGACTAAGTCAATTTTCCCTTTGCTAAGCTCTACAGTAAATTGAACTATGCTTTGGCTACTTCAGATCAGCCTAATTTAGACTTGATGTCACATAAATCTTTCAGCTTTGTATTGTTAAAGATGTAAAATTTCAACTTGAAAGATGTGACAGTGGAAAATTTCTGTTGAATAGCATTAAATGTTGTGTACCAATGTTTAATATTCTGCTTCTTCCATAAATAATACAAATGTAAATAATATATTTTTAGAAATTCCCATTCCTTCAAGAATAAATGCATCCAATATTCTTCCTTTATCTTTCTGCGTGATTATTGTTTGCTTTTTCGCTCTCTACCTTTCAACAACAACAACAAAAATGTAAATATCCATCTTTATGACAAATATTCTCTCTTGAAAAAAGGAGAGGGGGGAGAGAGAACACAGTTTTCTAATGTCAGGGATGTCAGAAAATGCTGAAGTTCCAGAGAGACAATGAGTACCAACACGATCAACTAAGATACCACATAACAGGCCTCATTTCATGCACCACTGAATCACAAAACCATTTTCAAATAGGAATCATGTAGTTACAGTACCACCCAGACCTGTAGTTCAATAGGTGGCAAGCAGAGCACCAAGCAGCTTTCACCCAGCCGGAAAGTTACAAGGGATTTTGTTTTAATGCAAAAAAAAAAAAAAAAAGCTGATGCTAGAATTAAAATGCTATTTGATTTTCACGCAGCCTTTGACTCCACAGCATTCCATTCCTCACAAAAATGCATTTAATACTCAATTATTCTCATGCTGCTGAAGAACTAGTTCAGTTTTATTATCAGGGCTGACGTATATCACCTGCAGAGACACTCAGCCATAATGCCTACCAACAAACAACGTGACTCTTTGCACTCAGTTCCATATTGTTAACCAGAGAGCTGAAATTTTATGTATAACTGAAGAATCTCAAGATCGAACTAGGGTGGAGGAAAATACAAAATTTAGCAGAGGTTGGCATTCAGCAGGTTCTGACTAGTTCTGTAGAACCAGTTGCAGAAATTTTGAGTAGTTTGGAATACCACCCATCAATTCTTTGCCTCCCGAGTCCCAGCTGATCAGCTGGGTCTTCTTTCGTTGCCCTGCACAGGAGAACGGAGCTGGAAAGCAGGTTAGTGGGGTGGGGAGAGAATGGGGATTTTTCCTTGGAGTTGGGTGGGAATGGGGATTTTACAGTATCCTTCCCCTGCCACACTCACCAAGCCACGCCCACAGAACTGATAATAAAAGAATTTGAATCCCACCACTGGAATTTAAGACATTTTAATTCTATAATGCAAGACAGGTGGAAAAGTGATCTTCACAATGCCTGAGAAACATTTATCGTGTGGCACCGAAAACTCTGCTTCTTCTGGCTATACAAAGTTGCTCATTTAGTATTGGGAACAATCCATGCTATCCAGAAAGTTTAAAATATTTCAGTTCATAAAGTTGCTGGAAGTTTACACGAAGCCTTTACACACAAAAGAATTAACGGGTTAAAAAAATAGTAATTCCTTAATTAAGCCAATTTTAATCAAAGTAGATTTAGGCATCAGTTTCTTGGTGTGATCTCCGAGTTCTTGTATGGATAACAATCAGGATTGGAAGAATGCTATGTAAGCTGCCTTGACCTCATGGAAGAAAGATGGGATACAATGTTGTGAATAAATGAATAAAATAAGTTCCCCAAAAAATGTCTCAGATGTGCATCAGAGTCTTTAAAAATAAATTCCAAGGCAAAAAAGATCTGTCTTAATATTTCTATATTAGCCTTAATAGCATTGACATTTTTGAACCTTGGTGTTGGAGAAGACTCCTCAGGAGTCCTCAGAATACCATGGATAGCCAAGAACATGAACAAATCAAGCCAGAGTTTTCATTAGAGACACAAGTGACCAAGCTCAAAATATTTTATTTTGAATATATTACACAAAGATCCAGCTCTCTGAAGAAGGTTCTAATGCTAGAAAAGGTAGAAAGAAAGAAAAGAGGATGACTATCAGGAAGCTGGATGGATTCAGTTTCAGTGGTTAATAGGTGTGCTGCTAGAAAACCTGAAGGACCAAGTTAGGGATAGATCATCATGTAGACCAGAAGTCTCCAAACTTGGCAAGTTTAAACTTGGCCAGTCAGCTGGCTGGAGAATTCTGGGAGTTGAAGTCCACAAGTCTTAAACTTGCCAAGTTTGGAGACCTCTGATGTAGACAATCTATCTACCTGGTCACTATGAGCCAGTTCTAAAAGCACATAATCAATTAATTAACATTATTGCATTTTATATTATTGTAGCCAGTGAGGTCATCATACATTTTAAGGATACTGCTGTAATTTTATAGATTTGAAGAAAGTTTTATTGGCATGAGAAATGTTAGATAGGAAAGAAAAATATATTCACGACTATTTTACCTACCTTGTATCATTTTGTTCTGGGTCAATGTCATTATACACAAAGTTTTCCTGGGCCATGACATCTGCAACTAAAATCAGAGTGTGTGATTAACTATTTACACTTTCCCAGAATTAAGAAAGAGAAACATCTAAAATCTTATAATCTGCCAAATGCAACATGAAAGGAGAAACAAATGGAGTGACAGTAGGAAATAAGCAAACTTAATCACCAACTTCTAAAAAATTACAGTGCATCCCAGAAAATGAATGGCTTTTGAATTCATAAAGTGAGCAAGGCCACTTTTGAAACTCCAAGTGACTTCCTTGTAAAAGGAGACTGTCACAATGATCATTTGTCTCTTTAAGAATTTCCCCCTCTAGAAGTGAATTCCTAAAGGACTAATGGCTATGTAATAAGTGTTAAAATAACTAAGAATGTTGTAACATCTGAAAAGATCTAACTTGTCTGCAGCAGCTCTATAAATTCAGTGTGTAAATGAATAATCATAGCATCAATTTACTCTTAAAGGCTGAATCTGTAGCATTAGAGACTAGCAATGGCAGACCTGCTAAAAATCCTTCTTGGCTAGACTCCATCATAAAAAAAATATGATCTGTTAAAAATGAGAAGCAGAGTTTTAAACAGGCACTATATTTTCTGTTTACAATTACAAAATAAAAAGAGGGGTGCCTATTCTAAAGAATCTCACACATGCAGACAGGACCAAAACTGTTATTTCAAAAGAGAGTCAGTTTATCTATTTGACATGCAAGCTTACCTAGGTTTGGTACAGAACGGGAAACATTGCTGCAGAAGACAAGTAAAACAAATGTGCATTTCAGCATGGGTTATAAATAACATTTGGACACACATCTGCAGTTAAGGTTTTCAAACAGGACTTCAGGTGCACCAACTTCTATACTCACCATCACACTTGCGTGATTCTTAATTTTGAAGATTATATCATCGTCGTTGTCATCTTTAAATGACCCCGTAATCCCTTGCAGGGTGGAGTCTTGGCAACTGAAGGGAGCTGAGTGTTTACTGGCCGGATGCCCTTCCCATAGCCTATGCGGAGTTATATTCAGCAGATACAATCTCAAAGTACCCAGAGAGAGAAATAGCTGCCTCTACCTAGGAGAAATATCTCTCTACCTATCTCTATCCTCTACCTAGGATTGAACTCACAGCCTCCTGAATGTGAGGCGAGAGCTCCACTCTAGGCCACCGCACCACTTAATTTTAAAGATTATATGACTGAATAAAAAAGCCATAGTTGGAAAAAAAACATTGGATTGAGAAATATTTGAACTTCACAGTATTTTTGTTATCAACTCCTGAAAGCAGCACATTTACATATCCAAAATGCATTACATTTTTTGGAGCCTAAAAAAGAGTTATGGTTTCAACTGAGGTTTCTTCATAAAAATTAGGGAAATGTTCAACCTGAGAGCATTTTCACAGATCTCAAGACTAATGGAAGTAAACATGAAAAGAGAAAGGGAACTGAACACCTGCATATTAAGCTCTTGTCTCAAATAAACCAGCAACATGTGAAAAAACGAAATCTCCCAGAATGGATGAATGACTGCAACAGTTGATGGAGTTAGCAGAGATGGCTAAATTGACTGCTTTGACTAAAAAAAAAGTATTTGGAAACTGCTACTTGACTTTGGGCTTGAGGTGGGGGGGGAAAAGAAACTTTGATTTTGAGTTTTATCAAATAGAAATAGTTGTTATAGAAATAGCTAGTATAGACTATTATGTAAAAGTAAAAAGTTGAAGTTTAATGTTATTACCTTATTCTACTGCACCAAAGGGAACCGGAAGTCAACACCTTTTTTTCCTCCTTATTTTCTACACTCTTCCCTTTTCCCTTTCCTATTTTTCCTATTATTTGCTTTTGTATTTTTGTATTTTATATTATAAACTAATAAAAATGTAAAAAAAGAAATTGAGATAAAAAAATACGCATAGAGTAGAGAGCTGTTTAACACAGAGAACCAAATAGGAATCAGGAATTTCTTTCATGAAGGGCATTATGTTGTTGTTGTTGTTGTTAGTTGCGAAGTCGTGTCCGACCCATTGCGACCCCATGGACAATGTTCCTCCAGGCCTTCCTGTCCTCTACCATCTTCTGGAGTCCATTTAAGCTCACGCCTACTGCTTCAGTGACTCCATCCAGCCACCTCATTCTCTGTCGTCCCCTTCTTCTATTGCCCTCTTCTCCAGTGAGTCCTTCCTTCTCATTAGGTGGCCAAAGTATTTGAGTTTCATCTTCAGGATCTTCCCTTCTAAAGAGCAGTCAGGGTTGATCTCCTCTAGGACTAACCGGTTTGATCGCCTTGCAGTCCAAGGGATTTGCAGGAGTCTTCTCCAGCACCATAGTTCAAAGGCCTCAATTCTTTGGCACTCAGTCTTTCTTATGGTCCAACTTTCACAGCCATACATTGCAACTGGGAAAACCATCGCCTTGACTACACGCACTTTTGTTGGCAGGGTGATGTCTCTGTATTTTAGTATGCTGTCTAGTTTTGCCATAGCTTTCCTCCCCAGGAGCAAGCATCTTTTAATTTCTTGCCTGCAGTCCCTATCTGCGGTGATCTTGGAGCCCAGGAAAATAAAATCTGTCACTACCTCCATTTCTTCTCCATCTATTTGCCAGGAATTGAGAGGGCTGGATGCCATGATTTTAGTTTTCTTAATGTTGAGTTTCAAGTCAACTTTTGCACTCTCCTTCTTTACCCACATCAAGAGGCTCTTTAGTTCCTCTTCACTTTCTGCCATTAGAGTGATATCATCTGCATATCTGAGGTTGTTGATATTTCTTAATTCCAACTTTTGATTCATCTAGCCCTGCCTTTCTTATGATGTGCTCTGCATATAATAGGCAAGGTGACGTATACAGCCTTGCTGGACTCCTTTCCCAATTTTGAACCAATCAGTGGTTCCGTGTCCAGTTCTCACTGTTGCTTCTTGACCCGTCTATAGGTTTCTAAAGAGACAAATAAGATGTCTGATACTCCCATCTCTTTAAGAACTTGCCACAATTTGTTGTGATCCATACAATCAAAGCTCTTAGCATAGTCAATGAAGCAGAAGCTTCATTGCCTACCAGCTACCATTTTCTCCTTCAGCTTAATATTCCTCCTCATTAATGCTCCTCATTCACTAACATTTCTGTCCTTCCCACTCAGTCTGGGTTAAGATGGAAGGGAAAGGCCTTGCCATTCTGTAAATGTATCTAAAGCTTTTGTATTGCTATTCCAATCCCATTTATATTTAAATGACATACATGGTATTATTGAACTAGTAATTAAGAAGTTGTAACCTTCACAGTGCTGTGATTTGTATTGCACTAACCCAGCACTTCAAAGGTTCATCAGCCACTACAGTGACACCACAGGAATACAATTAAGGACTGGCACTTTAAATTAATCAACAGATGCCTTTTATGGATGATGATGATGATGATGATGATGATGAGTTCTTCATGTTCTCTGAGATTGTTTTACTGCAGATGTTTCATTACCAGGCTAGGTAAGATCATCAGTGCAAAGGGGATTGAAGTTTGCTGATTGTTTATTGCATATAGAATAGCTTCCCCTGCCAATCTTGCTTGCAATGTGACTTCTTGCTTGACTTAATTAGGAACATACTGTATATTCTCTACATATCATATACAGGTGGTCCTCAACTTACAACAGTTCATTTAGTGACCGTTCAAGGTTTAAAAATCACTGAAAAATGTGACTTATGACCGTTTTTCACAGTTATCCCCGTGATCATGTGATCAAAATTCAGGTGCTTGGCAACAGGTTCATACTTATGACTGTTGCTGTGTCCCAAGGTCATGTGATTCCCCCTTTGTGACCTTCTGACAAGCAAGATCATAAAATGGGACAAAATTCACTTAACAACTGTCTCTCTTAGCCACAGAAATTTTGGGCTCAATTGTGGTCATTAGTTAGTGGACTACTTGTACTATTGGCATAATACATTACATACCGAGAACTCTCTTTCATGTGTGCGCTTTTTATTTTGAATTTTCCTTTGAAAATTTTTCCAAATCCTTTGAGTTTTTCAATTTTGATATCTCTAGAACAAAAAGAGAGAGAGAAAGAGAGAAATTAATAAATAACAAAATGTAGGTACTATAGATAAACATTTTATACATTGTCTATCTTTATGAACATAAAGTTGGGAAAAGACAATAAGAGGTCACAACATGCCTCTGATTTGTGACCTCTGGCACCAACATGTAATTGCTCTGTTTCTAGAATTTCTTTACAAAAACATTAGAGAAACAAATGGTGTATAAATCTAAAGGTGGAGCCAGTGTTCAGAGGCAGACTGTGCCGCGGCCTCTTAAAAGAGTTCAGGCTAGCATACAGCAAAGACCATTTCAACAACTCCTTTGTGCTTCAGCAGCTGGTTAACCCTGAAAGAAAACCCACATATGTCAAAGCAGAAGGCAGACTGCTACCAAGTTCATTCTTCCCAAGGCATCGACAACTATGCTCCGTGTGGCATAAAAACAACTCAGAAGAAGCTCAGAACTCAGAAATATCGCATTGCTAACTAGAGCATACAAAACTTTTGCTAGACCAATTCTCGAATACAGCTCTTCAGTCTGGAATCCCCACTGTTTATTGGACAGTAATACAATTGAGCAAGTCCAGAAGTATTTCACTAGAAGAGTACTACACTCCTCTGCTCGCAACAGAATACCCTATATCAGCGGTCGCCAACTGGTGGGCCGTGAGAAAATTTTGGTAGGCCACAGAGAAATCTCACCCCAAAAGCAATTAATCCAGGCTGTGCAGAAACACAAGGCTGCTCAGCCCACATGGCCTGCGGGAACCTTCCCTGCCCACTCACTCCTTACCCAGCAAACTTGTCTGCTAAGTTGCTATTTTTCCTTTTTCTGACCATCATCTGTTCTGCTGTGCTGGGAGATTTAGATTAGCTAGGAAGCAGGAAATGGTTGGATTTCTTGCTTTCCAGTTAAGCACAGCCGAACCTCCCTTAGGACTGAAGGATTGCTTGCAAGCAAATTCAGTGCAGACTCACGGCAAGCAAATTTGAGAGACTGAGCTAGCCGATGGCAGATAGATCACTCAGTGATTCTGTGAGCAACTCAATCTGCCTGATTTGCCTGATTTTGGATAAAAGTTTTTTAAATAAAAAATTCAATATTTACATACATGGTGTGTTGTGAGTTAATTTTGTGAATTTGCGTGCTAGCAAATTTTATGAGTTTGCTTGCAAGCAAATTTTGTGTGACAGACTGAGCTAGCCAATGGCAGATAGATTTCTGAATGAATCTGTGATTCTGTGAACAACCCAATCTGCCTGCCTGCTTTGCCTGATTTTGGGTAAAAGTTTCTCTTTTTTATAAAAAAAATTCAATATTTATATAAATATTTATAAAATTTACATACAAGCCATGCCCAGCCAGTCACATGACCACCAAGCCACACCCACAAATTAGGCCATGCCCACAGAACTAGTTAGTGGTCCTGGGATGTAAAATTATGAGTTTGGTGGTCTGAGGGCCAAAAGGTTGGCGACCCCTGCCCTATATCACCAGTTTTGAGATTTTGGGCTTGGACAACCTTGAACTATGCCGGCTATGGTTAGACTTAAGCGTAGCACACAAAATTATCTGCTACAATGTCCTACCAGTCAATGACTACTTCAGCTTCAACCACAACAATACAAGAGCACATAACAGATACAAACTCAATGTAAACCACTTCAAACTCGACTTCAGCAACAGAGCGGTCAAGGCCTGGAATGCATTACCTGACTCTGTAGTTACATCCTCTAACCCCCAAAACTTTGACCTCAAACTATCTACTATTGACCTCACCCCATTCCTAAGAGGTCTGTAAGGGGTGTGCATAAGTGCACAATTGTGCCTCCCGTCCCTGTCCTATTGTCCCCATTTATTCGTATCTATTTCCTCATGTTTATACTTATACCTATTATCTTGTAAGCGATTGACAAATCAAATCAAATAAATAAATAAATAAATAAAAGAAGCCTATTATATTCTAGCATTGTTACTCTGAGGAACACCCACCTTTTATAATTCCTGGAATGAATAATTCCTTTTCCAGAAATTCTGGGAGGGCAAGATGGGAGAAAAGATAAAGATTATTACTAAAAGCATCTATTTCTGATGTTGCTCTCAGGGTGGAAGTTAGTTCCGAGCTATGTTCAACTACTGGGGGTTAGATCAAGATATTGGGGTGTGGGCATGCGGGATTGGTAGTGGTGGAGAGGAGTCAATTCCAATTTATCCCAAGGGCACCACTATAGGGAAGGGTCATGCAGATTATTTCTGGTAATAGGGTACTCTATCTTAGGCTCTCGAAATTGGGTTGAGGGCTTTCTGCTGGTTAAATACAGGTGGTCCGTGACTTACAACAGTTCATTTAGTGACTGTTCAAAGTTACCGCAGCAGTCAAAAAGGTGACTAATGACCATTTTTCACACTTACAACCTTTGTAGAAGCCCCATGACCATGTAATCAAAATTCAGATGCTTGGCAACGGGTTCATACTTATGACCGTTGCTGTGTGCTAAGGTCCTGAGATCCCCTTTTTCAACCTTCTGACAAGCAAAGTCAATGGGGAAGACAGATTCACTTAACAACCAGGTTATGAACTGCAGTGATTCACTTAACTTATGGCAAGAAAGAGCATAAAATAGGGGGAAACTCACTTAACAAGTGTTTCACTTAAGAGCAGAAATTTCAGGCTCAATTGTGGCCGCAGGTAGAGGACTACTTGTATTCTGTAAGCAATTGGTCCAATGAATTGGCTGCGTATCAAGTCAGGAAATTTTGGCCTAGTCTGTTCCAATTGATATTCTAAAGTAGTACAGCTAATCCTCAACCTAACAGATAACAGATAATCAGAGTTGGAAGGGACCTTGTAGGTCATCTAGTCCAACTCGCACGCCCAAGCGGGAGACCCTACACCATTTCTGACAAATGGCAGTCCAATCTCTTCTTGAAAGTCTCAAGTGATGGTGCTCCCACAACTTCCGAGGGAAAGCTGTTCCACTGGTTGATCGTTCTCACTAGGGCACCTAGTACAAAAGTTCATTCAGTGACCATTCGAAGTTACAACGGCACTGAAAAAAGTTACTTATGACCATTCTTCACATCTACGACCCTTGCAGCATCCCCATGGTCACGTGATCAAAATTCAGACATTTGGCAATTGACTCATATTTATGACCGTTGCAGTATCCCGGGATGAAGTGGTCCTCTTTTGTAACCTTCTGACAAGCCAAGTCAGTAGGGAAGCCCGATTCCCTTTAACAATCGTGTTAATAATTTAACAACTGCAGTGATTCAATTAACAAGTTGTAAAGAAAGGTCATAACATGAGGCAAAACTCGCTTAACAAACATCTCACTTAGCAACAGAAATGTTGGTCTCAATTGTGGTCATAAGTTGAGGACCACCTACACGTTGGTTACTAAATGGTTACTATGGTTACTATGGTTACTAAACATCAGGAGGAATTTTCTGACTATACAAGCTGCCTCTATAAAGAGGCTCCTGTATTAAGTGGTGAATTCTTACTTCGATCTTCAATTAGAGGCTCGATAGTCAACTATCAGAGATAATATACTAGACCCAATTCCAAGCAGGGAGTTGAATGGGATAACATCTAAGATTCCTTCCAACTGTATGATTCTTAATATTTCCTACACTCCAAAAAGGGTTTGTAGCAACACAAATAAACATACTTGACCATTACCAAGAAGACAGCATTAAATGCAGCATTTTTAGTGTGCCTATAGCAAAAAGCACCGGCTTTCCCCTAAACTGTACAATATATAAAAATGCCAAAGTACTCAGTCATATAAAAGACTCAAAGTTCAGACAGCCAGTCAAAGACTACCTACTCACTCTGATTTGGAGGAATTATAACCTTCACTTTGAATGTCACTTTCAATATCTTCATATGTTTCTTCGTAGGTATCATCTGAAATATAAAGCAACAAAAAACCATATTTGTAGGTAAATCACCCGTTGCTGGTAATTTTAAAGTATAGTTAGATTTATTTATTTAGCATATGGCAAATACATGGGACTTATAGTGATTCAAATGTTAATGTCCAGTTAAAAATTAACACTTTTGCTATATTTCCAAATGGTGTCTTTTCTAACTATACTTGGACATTAAGTACAGTTAGAAAAGACACCATTTGGAAATATAGCAAAAGTATTAACTTTTTCTATCATTAATAACCTAGCTAAACTCTTTTTGGAATATCCAAGAAGTAGTGCCTGAATTAAACAAATTTCAAATTTCAAGAGATTTTAAAATATGGAGTATTATGAACTGGAGTATAAAAGAAAAGAAGCACATGTTTTCTATTCAAAAATACATTAAAAGAATATATTTTAAAATTCTACACTTTTGTAGCTTTTATTGCACCCTATAACTGTCTCAAATTGAGCCAATCCTGTAGGAAAGGATGAGGTAGAGAAATCACACTAAATTTTAACTCTGAATAATTATTAATCTCTCTAACCATCCAATTATTTCATAAATTAACTTCTTAGTTTTATTTTCTGTTGCATTCATATTCTGCCTTTCTTCCAAGGGGCTCAGCTTAGCCCAAATGTGGTCTTATTTTTACCTTTACAGCAATCAAATATTCTCAGTACTCAAATAGTACTCAAATATTCTGATTTGGTAAGTCAACTACAACCATCAAATAAATTTCAAGACTGAGCAAGGAATTAGTTTGGAGATATGATTTATACATACACGCCCATTTTGTCATATGCTACCTAGAGTTTTCGGATTGGGGCCAGTTACCAATACTATTATACCAACCAACCAATAAGTACGATAAATTAAATGAGAGATGCATTCAAAACCATGACTGTTCCTGATGAGAAAGTTCACATAAATCAACATTAAAAATTCAGTGACCATAACTTCACTTATACCACGTGGAATGAAGACTATCATTTGAAAGTCAATGTATCACTAAGGGTGATTTTTTTTAAATTTGACAGAACAACATCAGCCTCCAGATATTTTAAATGAAGTGTCTTGAAAGAAGATTGTCAGTAAAAAGCATGACCTGCTTAGCCAAATGGTTTACCAAGACATCTTGAGCCAGGTGCTATCAATCAGCCTAACCTAACAAAATGAGAATGAGTTGGAAGATACCCATATATCTTCCCTTTGATGCAAGGGAGAAAGAAATGAATAATATACTAAGGGAAAAACTGGAGGAAGCAACTAATCATCTCTCCATCACTGAGAAGAGCAAAGCTAGTTTCGCGGGTACTTACATGTATGGTATTCAGCTTTGTTTGGGTATTTTCCCACGTCATTGTAGTTGTGCTTTTAAAGTTGTAGCAACGTTTCGGCAGAATCTCATCTGCCATCATCAGCTTCTGTATTGTGTTCGTCTGACGACTGTAAAACAACTGTAAAAGTCTGACTCACAGACGAACACAATACAGAAGCTTGATGATGGCAGATGAGATTCTGCCGAAACATTGCTACAACTTTAAAAGCACAACTATAATGACGTGGGAAAATACCCGAACAAAGCTGAATGCCATACATACATACATACATACATACATACATACATACACACACACACACACACACACAGAGAGAGAGAGAGAGAGAGAGAGAGAGAGAGAGAGGAAAACGTGATTCCTAGAATAGTTTGCTGGGCTATGAAAAAGAACAGACAAACATGGGATCCCACTCAGTGGAACACAATCAGAATGTGACTTCCCAGAAGACCACTGGATAACAATTGAAAAATAAGAACATGTATATTAAATATAAAAGCATAGAAGTACTGTGGTCCTTCTACTTTTCGAAAATTCATCAGATGCCCATTGGCAAATCTACAGCTTGAACATGTTCACAAGTCAAAGAGAAATCCTCAATATGAATTATATAATCAGTATATCTGAAAAATAAGGCTTTGTTAGTGAATGTTATTTGATTTCCTTTACATTTATGCTGGCATTATAAAATGTAAAGTAAAAATTAAAACATTAATTTTTATATTTACATTTTTACTTTACAAACTTTTTTATAATTGAGAAGCGTGTAGCTCAAATATTGCAATTTCAATCACCGGTGAACTTGGTTTTCTTCTTGTAAATGTTTTGTTATCAATTTAGTGACCCTTCACCTAAGAGAAAACCAAGCTTACCAAACACTAAGATTCTGGTTAAAAAATATAAAAGTAAAATGAAAAAGTATCCCAAACAAACAGAAAGTTTAGATAAAACATAAGTTACACTCAGAACTGCATATGCTGCTAGATATGAAACATTGAAATAAATGTTTGCAGGTTTATGGCCAACTGGAGGGAGCCCTAAATCTAAAGTTCTACCCCTTGAATATTAAACTCCAAACTCTTCCAAAATTTGCCATGTATTATCCTTTTTCATGTGACAAAAGGGTGGCATTATTAAACATGTGAGGTCTGACCATATTAGCTGAATTCTAACATATATAAATTAAATTACTGTCCTGGCCCCATTTACCTTTGTGAGTGTGGCCCAATATACTACTTAAAAGCTTTTAATATTTCTTTCCTAAAAGAATCTCAACCATGAAAAATAAACAAATAAAGCCATTTTTTTCCCTTCTGTCTGGAGACACTCCAACTCTTTCCAATGGTTTGGGTAGTGCAAAGAATTCACTAGGAATCTGGAAGGTTTTTCAAGAGTTAAACCTACCTTTGCATAAGTTCTTTCAATAGTTAAATATTCAACCTCACTTTGTTCTATAAGAAGTGTTATTTTTATACTTACTGGAATGTAAAACAAATGATCTGTGGGCATCGGAGGATTGTCTGCAACACAACATTTAAACAAAGTAGTGTAAAAATACATTTGAAATATTAAGAGTTACAAAAAACTTACATGTACTTTCTAAACGTCTATAAAACACTTACAGGTCTCTCTCTATTCCTTCCACATCATCATACACTTGCTCTGCAGCTTGCTCCAATGTAGCAATTCTTAGATCTGGGTTCCACTTCCTTTCATCGGTTCTTAAAGATTCCAGGCATACATAATCATCTGAAACTGGAGCAGAATTCTTGTTTCAAGCTCTCCTGAACATATACGAAAGAGTAAACCTGCCTAAATGCTGAAACCGCAACACACATTCTGAAGATCCAAGAAGAGAAAGCTATGAAAACTGCATCGGCTTTTCAATGCATGTTTCTCCAAAATATACCATTAAGGAAGAAGCAGTCAACATTTTTTTGCCATGAGTGTCCCTCTACATTGTCCATGGACTTTAAAATTGCACTTACAGTCACAGAACCCAGTTGTTAGAAAACAGGCTGGCTTGGGAATTCTGAGAATTGAAGTCCACACACCTTCAAGTTATTTAGGTTGAGAAACACTGCTATAAAATAATACAGTATCAAGTTTTTCCTAAAGACAAAAGCATATTCCACAAACATATGAAACAAATTACCATTACTATACACAAGTTCTCGCGATTGTCCCTCATCTCTCAACCTAGATGTACAAACATTAATTCTTCAATCGTTGGCAAGAAGTCAAGAGATACAAAGCCATCTTGTCAAGAGATGTTAAGTATGCGGAGGTATAAAGGAGTATGTGTCACTTAACTCAAGAGTAAAGCAGCAGTAATATCAACATGCATTTACTCACAATCTCCATCCTTTGCCAATCCTTCTCCAGAGAAACACTGATTTGTTTCCTCTTGAGGCATGCTCTTCTCATTCCCTCCGATTTGGGCTTTCATGAATATAGTTCTGGGACTGCAAATCTGTTAGCACACATTACACTGCTTGGGTTAGAGCCCTTTCACAACATTCCTTGCTAAATTCATGATATAGCATAAAGCACCTCTTCTACAGTGGTGGGATTCAATTTTTTTGACTACCGATTCTGTGGGCGTGGCTTGGTGGATGTGGCAGGGGAAGGATACTGCAAAATCTCCAGTCAGAGGTGGTATTTGCCTGTTCTCCGAACTACTCAAAATTTCTGCTACCGGTTCTCCAGAACTGGTCAGAACGTGCTGAATACCACCTCTGCTCTTCTACCATACAAATCAAAGTAGATTGAATAAAGTACTGAATTATTTCTGATCAGGCATCATCCAGGCCCAAATCTGTTTAATTTGTCTCCATCTTTCATCTTTCTACATGTTTCATCATAAGAAAACATTCTCCAAGTTCAATTCTTACCAGTAAATTCTACAGAACTTTTAAGTAAACGGGAAATGCTTCTTTCCCAAGCCAAAACCAGGAGAAGACAATATTATATTAGGTTAGCAGAAAATTCTAGTGGGGAAAGAAATCCCCACCAACCATTTTACAAATGCAATATTAGCAATTGTTCTATTTTCTCAATTAAAAAAATCTCCTGTAACATCTGTGAGTAGAATGGGCAGCAGCCTGCAAGGTTTTCAAAAAAGATACATAACTTTTTACAAGATAGTTTGTGCACATATAATCCAATCAGAAAATCAACATTAAGAATTGCCCATTTACTAAGTCAGAAAAATACTAAGTCAGAAAAATTAGCAACATATATTTGACATTCTGAAGATCATACTTTGAGGATACCCAACACTATAGATAATTGGACTAGCAATTTCAAGAGACTGAGACTAATAACAGAAGACCAATGAAATCCGTAAGCAATTCTCCACTAGAAGCTGTTTGCCATTCAGAATATCGAACTGTTCCTTCTTCAAATATCATGTTCATTTTTGTGTGAACACACACGGTCAGAGTTACTATATAGCTACATAATTTAATCCTTGTATTAAAAACTTTAAAAAAAAAATCCCAGCACATAGGATACTGGTACATAAATATTCCTGACTTAATATTTCTTCAACCTATTTGTAGCAAAACAAAGAGTACTTTAGTTTTCACAGATTGGTCACAAAATAATAGTTTTGTTGACCTGGACATTGTTTTAAGGAATATCTTGGTCTGCATCTATTTTCCATGTCATTCTAGTGAAATGTGGCTAGAATCCAAAAGACAGTACTCAAAGTTTCCAAAGCATGCAGAGAAACATACACAAGGAAATTTTCCTTCCTGACTTTAATCCATAACACCAAATGGGTTGTCATTTCAAACATTAATTAACCTTCCAAAACAACCTTTGAAGCACAAAGAAAAGTAGGCTGACACAAAAGTTATGGGAGAAATAACCTGCATGAAAAACAACTCATTTTAATGTTTGGGTGCTCGCCAGATGCTTCAGTTTATGTTATACTCATATAGAACATTTGAAGAAAATAATTGGTTTACTAGGAAAATTGGTTGAGAATTGTCTTGTTTGTTCAACACACTTTCAGTTCTATCAACAAATTAAATTGAACATATTTAGATTGTGTTTATATTATATAATTTTGGTTATATAATTGTAACTTACAACACAATGGATGAATGAAGCCAATAACATTAAATTATCATCACAATTGCTTGACTTTGGGATTAGGTTCATCCAATTTAAATAATGAAATTGTTATGTGGAAAAAGAATCAGTAATTAGCTATAATTTGTAAAATATTACCTTGGGTGTATTATTCTCAATGTGACATAAATTTTTAGCATCACAAACAGTAATTTGTCCTGAGATTAAAAAAATAACCAATTCGAGAATGCTTAAATTTGATGCATTTCTATTTTAATATTAATTCTCTCCTATGTAGGTGCTAGCTATAAACACACAATAAACAATAAGTTAAAGGAAGCTTAAAGGTGGGCAATTAATGGCCCCTTTATGAGCTGTGAACTCCAACTCCCAGAATTCCTGAGTCATAAAAAGGGGTCATTAATTGCCCACCCCTGAACTAGAGGGATAGATAGATACTTCTATAGCAAGCCAAGTTTTGGTGTGCTGATCTGTTGTTCTCTTTTTCTTCTCTCACTCCAATTATTTCATCAAACTAGAAATTGAAAGCACGTACCTTAGTATCTTCCTTTTTCAAAGACTTGAAAGCTAGAATCAAGGTTTTGTAGAAATTAGTACATTCTTCTTTGTAGTTTATTTCAACTAATTTTATAAAACTGCTAACTACAATAAGCAGTTATAGATAGATTGCTATATAACCTAAATTTTCCATCTAGGCTCCTTTACATTACCAGTTAAACAAAATGAACCCAAACTAATATTTTTTGAAGACTAAAACGGCGAGATTCCATACCCTACTAACACAATTAGAAGTAATCTGAATTTTATTCTAATCCAAATCTTAAAAATGATAAAAGAGTTTTTAAAAATGAGTTTAAAGCAGGGGTCCCCAACCACCGGTCCG